GAAAAACATTGTGTAATTCATTTCAAATTTTGCAAACAAGTAAGTTAATTTCCTTTCTGGCATCGATTTGCACCTGAATCTGTATTTTAATACCTACTTTTGGTTTTGCGTTTAAATCTATAAGAACATATTAATTTGTACATTTTCTATTCTTTTGAAAAATCTTCTTTTGTATATATGCCAATTATTTTATATTAATTTTAACAGTCTGAATAGTTTTTTTACTATTCTGTGAGAGTGTCAGAGAATGTGTTTTCCAAAGTGAGGATCTCACTTAATTCAGCTCATAAAAATTATCTTAAATTAAAAAGAAAATATTACTCTTTTTTTTTTTTTTTTTTTTTTTTTCTGTTTTGTTTATGACAAGTATTTTGTTTCAAGAAGAATAATTATCTTTCTCTTTTTTGAATTTTTGTTCGTAGCTTATGATTTAACTAGCAAAATCACTAATTTGATTCTTACTTTGAAAAAAGACGAAACACTCTCACTTAATTGGTTATTGTTACTTGATATTGGATTGTTTTGTTCCTTTTTCCAAGTCAATTAGTCTACGTCAATAACAATCGCTACTCTTTTAATACTTTAGATTTTACTTTTTAGAATTTTTCCGTTTTAAAATAACATTTCTATACAGCTTATTAAAATATTTTTACTACAGTAGAAATCTAAATTACTTATACTTAAAATACTTTTTAAAATCAAATTTATTCCAATAATTCATTGCACTAATTAAATTTATGTTCCTTGGAGATGGCATATAAAAAAAACTTTTACAATAATAATAATATATATGTATGTATACATAATGATATTTTAAAATTTATATCACATTTTGTTTTCACACTCCTTTCTTTCCCTCGTTTCCCCTTAAATTAATACATTTTTTTATTGTTCAAAAAGAAAAAGGAGAGGATTGATATAATTTACTATAGTGTCTTCAAGGAGCATTATTATATCCCGGTGTGGTAATTATATATGGCACGGAACATTTATCACATTTTTTTTACTTCTCTTTTGGCCCTTGTGACTATTTTTGATAAATATGCAAGACGTAGGCTTCTCAGAGGATAAAAATTCCTCTCATAGATCAAATCTGTGAGCTACAGACGCCTCTTACAAACTCTAGCACTACTAGTTTCTAAGGATCTCTCCATTTTTTAATCCTGTTAAATCAAAATTGAAACGGGTATGCCTAGTGAACTTGTGCTACACTTTATTTATTTATTTTTTAATTTTATTTTTCAATGTGTACGACGTACTGATAATCTTATAGTATACTGGATAACATACGCAGAGATGGTGATCAACTACTCGCAAGTGACGATCGACTACTCTTCTTGTGGAACGGTGTTTGATACACATGGTGCCTAGGCTGACACCTTACCTCAAATCGAACATAGTTGAAAGTTTCGAAATTTTTTAGAAAGTTAACTTATTTCAAGTTAGTAATTCTTTTTAATTTAAATTTTAAAGAGATTCAAGCACTATAAATTCAAGCCTCAAAGCTATCTGACTGAATCTATGTTATCAAGGTAATTTTGAATCAATAGGTTTCAAGTGGTGAACAAATACATATAATACACACAAGATCTAAATATAAATATGCATAAATAAAAACAAAAGAATACCGAATAACATGACAAAGTAAATATAAAAATCAGACTTCCACGATTATATTTGGATTGAAAATGGACATTGGCGTTTATTAGTACAGTTGTCATAATCAATTATAAATTTTGAGTTCAGAGTTACTTCTCACCTTTGAACTTTCGGATAAGGCTCGGAGAACAGCCTTGGTTGCCCCAACCTTCAACTTGGCTCCTTTAAAGATATGGGCGACATTTCATTATCAACATATGGGGAAAAACGAGATTAAGATGTGTTTATATTTTTTTCATATCTGATTGCTAATTTGGTTTTGTTATGTTGCTAAATTAGCATTAAAAGTCGAGTAATGTGCGTCTATTGCGAAAACGCAGGGCAATTACTTTTCGATCCGATTTTATATATGTATATATCACATTCCTGCTCATATGATCTACATATGTATCAGATAACCAGCTACTTTTGACACTTATTTCTGGATGTGTATTATTTTACAACTTTTTCTGCTTTGAAAACCCAAGTATTGAAACATTATGTGTATGCTTGTGAAATATTACTTCAGATATTCTCGTATAACTAACTATACTATAATCTCATATTATTCAGTTCTCATATAACTACGATAGAAATATGCTTCTATTATTTACTTTAAAAATGCAGTATTTGATAGCCTTCCACATAGTACTACTATGTGGAAGGCCACTTGTCTAGACTACTCTACGTCATCGGCTTATGGCAAAATTGTTACTGAGCCTGATACGTCGCGCTCCGCGCAATATCCCATCAGCATATTTCACAAGTGCACATCAGCGTAGCCACTGAGGGAGGGGTTTCGAAAATGGACCAATGAGCTCCTATTGCTCTTATGACGCTAAATCTTCATGCATATGAGCGTATGTCGTTTACGTTTTAATTTGCATTTGTTTCGCTGTAAAAAATGTATGGTGTAGTAGAAGAAAATCTCTTAGTGCATTCGTTTCATTAATCGCTTACATTTCACTTTCGCGATTTTTATCACAGTATTTGGATTGATGTTCACGGCATATTATCGCTCTTTACATCGAGAAAATGACTCAAGCTATAATTAGCCTCGAATATTAAGCATTTACTTAACACCTGTGGATTAAGAAAATTCAAGTGTATAATTGTTTTTAATATAATTTTTCATATAGACTGCAATAAAAGTGCTGACTTCTATTTACATACATAATTGGTGTAAATATTTTTCTCATATGCATAGTTTTAGGTAAAGATAGCATTTGGGCTCAGATGTTTATCACATATTTCTTTCTTCATCTTATTTACCACTTATTAAGTAATATTTCACATGGATATTTTGGCGGATATTGTGTTTGTATTTATTTTAAATTATATCAACCAGGTAGTGAAATCTTCACATTGGCTTATATTTGATCTAACTTCGCAATGAAAATTTTCAGAAGAAATCGACGATACTTTAATTATTTTGTACGGAAAATAGCGTGGCAAAATCTTTTCAACCCTTTTGCTTAAATCTTAAAGCACGCGAAAGGTCTTGTGACATGACAGAAATATTACTGGATGCCCATTGGTCCATCCTAGAAGCCACACCCTCGGTGGCTACCAAGGCCAACTAGATATCTACAGGCCTGCTCCAAGCTGATGATCACATGATCTGACGTCATAATCTTAGGCTTTCAATTTTGTAAGTTGAGCTTGCTTCGCCGTAGGACTAGTGCTAGTGAGATAATTGTTTACATGTGTTTTTTCTTCTGAAAAATTTTGTATTTTACCGGAAAGTAAAATATTATATTGTGAATTCGAATTTATAAGAAAAAGTGTGTTTTAGAATGCCAAGAAAGTGTAATGTACCTAAATGCCGATCAAATTACGATAGCACTAACTGAACATGTGTCCACTTTCAAATTTCCTTCGGATCCTGTACTCTCTCAGAAATGGATAAAAAATATTAATCGCAAAGATTTTGTAGCTGGCAAACACAGTAGTGTATGCATTAAGCATTTCGAAGAAGAATTTATCGTTCGAGAAGATAAAGCTGTTCGTGATGATGGGACGGTATTAGTAGTTCCTAGAACTATTCCAGCTTTAAAAAAAAGATGCTTATCCAACGATTTTTCAAAACCAGCCATCTTATTTATCGAAGAAACTTCCCACAAAAAGAAAAACACCGGAAGAAAGAGAAGCAGAAATTGATATTCGTTGTGATAAACAATTTGAACAGTGGAAAAAGAATGATATTATTAGCGATTTTGAAAACCTAATAAATGGTTTTGCAAAAAAAAAAAAAAAAAAAAATAGATCTTCCCTCTTCATGGATATTCATTACCAAAGGTAAGATCTTTTGGCTATCGAAATTAGAATTTTTAAACTGTCCAAAAGTGCTTGTATCTTTAAAAATATTGGAAGATTTAAATGTAAGAGTTTTTTTTCAATGAAAATGAAATTCCCATTGAAAAGTTCAAATGGATATTTGGAGAAGAAAAGCTATGTGATAAATGGTCTAAACTTGAGACAATGATTAGCCATTTGGATGGTTTTTCTGCTTCTGATATTCATGATGACTGCAATTTAAATTTAGATAAAATATCAAAACTACTGTTGAAATGTGCAGAAACAGAAAATAACCCACATTCTGAGAAATTTAAGTTTTTGTATGAACAGATTCAATTAATGCAAATGAAACAGCCTTCGTATAGTGCAGAATTCCTTGCCTGGTCTTGTTATATATTTTTATTGTAATCCAAACAGCTACAATATTATACGTAACAGTAAGTATTTTATATTGCCTCATCCGTCATACTTAAGGAAGTTATCTCTGAAAATTGGCCGAGCAGATTCTGGATTGCAAACAAGTCACTGGATGTATTTGAAAAAAAAAAAAAATGTGAAATTTTAAATGATTCTGAAAAAATTGTCAATTTATTATTAGATGAGATATATATAAAACCACAAGTTTCGTATAAAAGTGGTCGTGTTTTAGGTTTTTCGGATAATTCACAGATGGAGGCCACAACTCTGCAAACATTTATGATAAGCTCTATATTATCAAAAAACAGAGATATTGTAGCAATGTTTCCCGTAAAAAACTTATCATCACATCAATTATTAATATTTACAAAACAAGTAATTGACCATGTACAGTCTTGTGGCTATCGAATTATAACTCTAATATCAGACAATAATAGAATTAACAGAAATATGTTCGAAATGCTTTGTGGTGGTGCATTAAAATCCTCATTTATAAACCCTACCATGCATAATCTTCCTATATTTATATTATTTGATACAGTTCATTTATTGAAATCTATACGAAACAACTGGTTCAATCAGAAAGATTCAAACCAAACATTTTTTATACCGTCATTTGAAAACTCAAATATTGTTTACAATTCCAGTGTTCTACATTTAAAAAAAAATTGTATGAAATAGAAAAAAATGATAATATTAAAATGGCTCCAACTTTATCAAGAAAAGTTTTATTTCCGTCTTCTATAGAGAAGCAGAATGTAAGTACTGCTATTAAACTTTTTGATGAAAAGACTTTAGCTGCTCTGCAAATTGAATCGCAGAATAATAGAACTGGGTATGGAAAAGATGTCTTAGGAACTAAACATTTTATTGATATAATTTTAAAGTGGTGGAAAATTGTGAATGTTAAACACTCTAAAAAGGCCTTACAGTTTCGAGATGTATTTATGCAGCCTATAAGGACACCAGAAGATAAAAGCTTAGAATATTTATCACAGTTTTGTTCGTGGCTTATATCATGGAACGATTTTTGCCCAACAACAAAAAACTGTAAGTCACAAATTGGGAAACTGTCAAAAGAAACCCAAGTTGCTCTTCTCCATACAACAGCAACATTGAATGAACTTTCAAAGTATTTGTTAAAAGAATTTAAATTACCTTTTATTCTTTTAGGAAAATTTCAGACAGATAACCTTGAGGGACGTTTCGGTCAATTTCGACAAATGAGTGGCTGTAATTATAATGTATCCTTACAGCAGATTATAGAGTCGGAAAGAAAACTAAAATTAATTAGTTTGCTTAAAATGCAGTCTTCTGAGAAAGGTTCATTTATTTTACAACATTTTTCTTGTAATGATATTGAAGATTTTAATGATTATCAACTTATTGATAAGGAATTTGTTGATGTTTTGCATCAATCCAATGATGTTAATGTTACAGAAAAAGATACAATGTGTCTAATTTACATTTCTGGATATGTTTGTAGATCTGTATTGAAGCATATAAATTGTAATCTTTGCAGGAAAAAATTAATTCTTGACAAAGAATTGATAGTTGAATATTGTGAAGATTTTGCGTACTTAGCTGCTATTGATCGAGGTGGTTTATTTTGGCCAACAGAATTCGTGCTTTTCATTAATACCTCTGCATTTAAAATATTTTCAATCCTAATATCTGAAATGTATGAGAAATTATATATTTCATCAAAAAATCAACGTTCTATATTAATAAGTCTCATCACAGAGAAAGTTGAAAACAGGATTATTTGGGATGATAGTATTTGTGAGTGTGGCAAATCATTGCATGATTTGTTGAAAAGTTGTGCCACATGCATTTCCAATATATTGCTGAATAATTACTGTAAGGTTAAAAATAACAATTTAAAGGAAACCAATGACCAAAAAAGAAAAATGAGTAAATTAAATAATTCTGGAATTTAGGTGAATTTTTTACGTAATTTTAAAGTTAAATAATTAGTATTTGCAAACTGTGCATAATTGAGCCATGGATATATATATGAAATTACCTGATCGCGAAAAAGTATATACCCTTTCCAAAGATGAACATTTCCACGTATAAAATAAATAAAATATCCAATAAAGAGAAAGATATGGCTTCAATTAGATAAGCTTTAAGATAAACAAATTGTAGATCATGATTTAAAAGTAATTTTTACCAAAACTAAAGCAGAAGAAAAGACGAGCGAGAACAATGAAAAAAGATTATGTAGTATGATGTATGAAATGATAGAAGAAC